TTCCTTTCCTTTCCTTTCCTTTCCTTTCCTTTCCTTTCCTTTCCTTTCCTTTCCCTTTCCCTTTCCCTTTCCCTTTCCCTTTCTTTCTTTCTTTCTTTCTTTCTTTCTTTCTTTCTTTCTTTCTTTCTTTCTTTCTCTCTCTCTCTCTCTCTCTCTCTTTCTTTCTTTCTTTCTTTCTTTCTTTCTTTCTTCCTTTCGGTAAAACAGCAGAGAAGCATAATGGCAGCAGCCCTAGGTATGAATGTGGCCCTTCTATGAGCTTGATCTGTTCGGAGCAAGGTAGGCACTCTGCTGTGCTCCCCTGCCCTGATGCCCTACTCCCTCAAGGTGATGGCTGCAGGCCTGGCTTCTACAACTTCCCAGCTGCATAGTATTACGCGTCTCCCCTGAGAGTGGTGGGGTGGCGTCTCCCACCCCCCCCCACAGTTTTTAGGTAGGTATTGTATCATATGACACAGGAGGCTTTAGGGTTCTCTCTTTCTCTCCATTCCTCTTTTTTATGTTCCCCCTACTCCGCTTTTCATTCCTCTTTTTTTTTAATTTTTTATTTTTTCAGCATAACAGTATTCATTATTTTTGCACCACACCCAGTGCTCCATGCAATCCGTGCCCTCTCCAATACCCACCACCTGGATCCCCCAACTTCCCACCCCCCTCCCCTTCAAAACCCTCAGATTGTTTTTCAGAGTCCATAGTCTCTCATGGTTCACCTCCCCTTCCTCTTTTATTACTCAGCTTCTGCTATAGAATCCAGATATTGGGTAAGGTTCTGGAAATACGAAGATGCACAAGAGTTCTGGGTCCCCAGCGATGTTCCCTCCATTTCCCTGGAATGATTCTACATGCTAAGTTCTGGTTTTAATAAAACTGATTTAGAAGGGAGATACTCTAGCAGCTATAGCAATAGAATGACTAACTGTATAGGCATGGCCAAATAAAAAGAAACAATCAGAGAGTGCCTCAGCTCATTGATTGGGGTGGAGGGAGAGATATTACATATCTTTCCCTTTGTCAAAGGTTTAAGAACTTGCATCAGCTATTTGGAAAATGAAATAAATCAAATGACAAGCCATACTGCTGGTGGTAGACTTGTTCATTGCAGAGATAACAAAGCAAAAGCCCTCTCCCACATAGACGTCAAGCCTAAATATTGATGTTATCTCTTTTTGTTGTTGGATATGCTGATTACAGGTGCTGATTTCATCGAAACGAATGCTTCAAGAGTTTTCAATAAAAAAACACAGCATTCATTGAGAGTTCCACTATATATGGATGTTACCCAGACAGAGAAGTAAAAATGAAGATGGAAATAGACCCGATTCCAGTAGTGGCGGCAATGGCTTAGCCAGCCACTTAGCTCCTGTCGTTAATGGAAGTAATTGGGATGCATGGACCAGGAAGAGATTGTGCAACGTTTTATTTCATGTCAGTACTCTTTACTTACTCAGAATCATTCCAAATCTAATGTTGAGATTTGACTTTAAATGTTTAGAACACTGGTCAACAGAAAAGCCAAAATCTTGTAATGGATCTGCCAAGAAGAACACAACAGATTAGGTGTGAGTACATTGTATGCTCTGCAAACTTCCATTACAAATTCACACCAGCGATATCATTTTTTTCTACATGAATCACCAAAATTGATTCAAAAACATATTGTCCCACACTATTTTTTTTTCGCATGAATTCATGATGCCATCAATAATCCTCCCAAGTCTCTCCATAGTGAATGTTGGTCAATGCCATGTTCTGATGGCAGACTCTCAATCTGAAATGAGCATGGGTCTTGGTGGGTGGGTTACACACTTACTTAAGTTTTTTGTCATTGCGTGAATTCTTGTAGTTCCTGAATTTTTGGCCTTAAAATTGCTCATTGATTATTCGAAACGTTTCACTAAGCATTTATTACAGAATTGAAAGAGGAAAATACATGCAGATTTTCAAAGTTAGGACCTGCCTTTATAATTTTGCCCCATCCCATCTTAGTCATTGTCATTTTTTTTCCCCAAACATTCCATTATATGCAAGGTCTTGTGCTAGATATGATAGAGGGAACCTAGACTGCAAAGATAATATCTTTCATACATACCTTCCGGTCATTCAGAAAGCCCCAGAGGCTCATCTAGGCCTCAGAATAAAGTCAGGAAATGTCCTACTGGCCCCTCCTTCCATACTCCACATCATGAACCCATCCTCCATTTTTTGAGGTCAGGTCACCCCGCAAATTCCCACCAAGGCTACCTATTCACATGCTTTCTCTAATGTGTAATGGTCTTACCTTTTTGGCTGTGGTCTAAGTGAGGTCTTGCCCTTTCGCATCTTCTTCTTCTTCTTCTTCTTTTTTAAAGATTTTATTTATTTATTTGACAGACAGAGATCACAAGTAGGCAGAGAGGCTGGCAGAGAGAGAGGAGGAAGCAGGCTTCCTGCCGAGCAGAGAGCCCGATGTGGGGCTCGATCCCAGGACCGTGGGATCATGACCTGAGCCGAAGGCAGAGGCTTTAATCCACTGAGCCACCCAGGCGCCCCCCCCTTTTTTAATGAGGGTTTCCCTGATCATCCCCCAAATATTTTTTGGTTTCTCTGAATTCTTAAAATAGATCTGCGTGAAATATTTTTTTCAAGGCGTATGAACACCTCATCCTATATCACTTAACCTAAACACGAAACTTCTGAAAGGCAGGAGCTGGATTCTTGTTTTGGTTATTTTGGTTTGGTTTCTGGTTCCTGTCCCTTTATGTTTCCCACTGGGTCTGAGAGAGAACGGATCGTAACTGAGTTGTCCTTGTCACTGAGCTGCGCACTTTATAAGCGTTTTTTGTTTAATCCTCCAGACTCCCCAGTGCATAGTGCAGAGCCCCTCAGTCAGACGCATGGAAAGCACCCCTGCATGTAGGTAACGAGTGGATAAAGGAGCCATGTGTCCCTCAGCTCTAAGTCTAGCCTTCCGAGTTCCGCTGTGCAAAGTCGGGGCTCTTTGCATTCACTCTTCTCCTTTGTCATCTGCCAGCAGAGGTACCAGAGGGAGACTGAGGCTGAGCCGGGGAAGCAAGCTGCTCCTTCTTCCACACTTGTTGGTCCTTGAGGGTGTCACCTGGAGATGGCCTGTCACCCTGACAGTGGCCATTGGTTCCAGTGTCCTGCTTTCTTCTGCACCTTCCCAGAATCAGCAGAGGCTCAGCTGCATGAGCTCCTAAGTTTCTGTTATGGCAGTTTCGGCTGCAGACCCTTTCTCCCCATCCCAGCAGTCTGTGCTCCAACTCCACAGGGACCTTCTTTGAAGTCTCCAAGTTCTGATAACTCCAACCTCTGCCCTCTCTTCTCCCAACTCTCAGCGTGGTCGCTGCTTCCTCCCTGTCCAGTTACAATAACTGACATGGTCTGTATTTTCCCCATGAGACCCAGACTCCTATGACAAATGACAATCTTGAGAGATAGCTATGATTGTCTTCCTTTCACAAATGGAAAAATACAGACTCAGAGAGGTTTTTATTAACTTACCCGGGTCCCAGGACTATAAGATGGGTAGAGTCAAGATTCGAACCCAGGCTTAAAGAACAAACAAAAAATGACAGCCCTGGATTGTGTACAGGTATTCACGAAGTGGAGCTTCCAAGCTGTATGTTAATGATTTAATTTGTAAGATGGCCTGGAATATTTTGTGCGTGGGCATATGGCATGTGATAATTCTGTTTTATAACTGGTTTTAATTTCAGCTTAGCTATGAGCTCACATTTGTCAGTGATGGTGTTCCAGACAGTTTTATCATTCACATTGCTGACCTGCTGACCTGGAAGATATGTAATTGTCTGCGGTATCTGCCATGGAAATGATCGCTAGGCTATTCTGCCTTGCAGATCTAATCTATGGTGCTGTTTCGTTTGAGCAAACTGTCTTGGATCTGGCCATTCATTCTCCTGGGGAAAGGCCATTTTCTCTTAGGCTCATTTTCCTTCTTCATCAGCCCCTTTGTGCCGTCCTGGGCTTCTCTTGGCTTGGGAAAAGGGAGCGGGAATTATGGAGACAATTGTCCCTGCTACACAGTTGGCACTCAGTATCAAAAAAGAGAGGCCAAAAGACAGATGTTCAGGAACGTGCATCCTCAGAATTGTGAATGAATTCAAACTGCTGTCTAAGGACAGATATGAGGGGCTACATATGTATCCCTCAGCTGACGGGCAGTTACAGAATTGCACAGCGTGTTTATGGACATTTTAAAAGCATAGATGGAAAGGATAAACTAAGGGTGGGAGAAGGAAGTAAAACATCTCCTTGGTACTGGAAAAATACTGTTGGGAAAATAATCTTAATAGGGAACAAAGTCACAGAGAAAGCAGTAGGTTGTTTCTCTCGGAGGATGCGTATGTATCTAAAAAGATTAAGGCCGTTACTTCAAAAGTGCTTCGGGGCTTGGTAATCTTTCTTAGCAGTTATATTTATTCTATATTTGAGATCGAATTTTATATCTGGGATTGAATATGCAGTTTGCAGCTGTCTTGAGGGAAGTGACATCATTTCCTCCTGTCCCCCAGTCCCAGCCTCACAGACGCATGTCCTTCCCTGTGGTAATATGTATTTTCACTCAGAATCCGTATTGCATTGTATTTTCCTTAGACCTTCACCATTCCTCTACTAGACACTGGAAGGCAGCTCCCAGCCTCAGGGCCTAGCACACTGTCTGAAGATTATGCTGAGTTCCAAGTGATTGTTTGCCGAATGAGTGATAAAGGTTATACATGTAGTAAACTTGTGGAGAACTGGAAGGCAGGTTTCCTCAACCTTGGCACTACTGACATTTTGGATCAGATAATCCTTCTTTGTGGGGTTACAGGATGTTAACAGTATCTTTGGCCTCTACCCTGAGGATACCAGCAGGCTCCCCCACCCCGCCCCCCCCAATCCAGTTGTGACAACCAAAGGTATCTCCAGACACTGTCAAATGTCCCCTGGAGGACAAACACCTCTGGTGGAGAACCACTGCTTTCAAGAATTGCTTTCTCAGTTACCAGACAAGTGCCTCAGACTCATATATCAAAACAAAAGATGGTGGGTTGCATTTTTTAAGTAGTCCTTCTTATGTAATATGAGAACTACTGGGTGGGGGGGAGGGCAGGAGGGGGGTACTCCCTTGGACACTTGCCTCAAGTAATTTTTAATACATATAAATTGGATTATCTGAACTTGGATCTTCTGAAGGAATGAAATTGGAAAGTTAATGAGAGTTGGTGTTCCCGGGCTGTGAGGGCAGAGATAAATGTTTCCTCTAGACACTTCATTGTAGAACAGCAAATGAGCTGAGCAAAGAGGCCAAAAGCTTCGTCATGCAATATACAATCTTTTCATTTTAAGTATTTTTTCCTTCGCCTCTGTGCGATGCCTCCCCCCCGCCCCCCGCCATGTGTTCTGTTGACATCTATGGCTTCTGACGAACGGAGGATAGTGGTTGCAGTGAGTGAGCCCAGCATGCTCCCAAACTGTCCCCACTGTCCCTTGCCTCTGGGGTGCATGTGTGTGGAAGACAGGCTCCTCTGAACAGCTGAGAGGAAATCGGAAGAGCAGCCAGCTGTGTCTGCCTTGCATATTAAGGGCAGTGACAGTCCAAGGCATCTGGGGGCTATTTTCGTGCTCATTCATAGGGTAGAAGAGATTTAGATAAAGAGGTGGGCTAAGTGTGGGCAGGGTCTTAACAAATCTCAGCTCCAGAACCATTTTTGTGCCTTATTCTCTGCTGGTGGGCTGTGCTCTCTTGGTCTGGACGGAGCTGGCCAGTTGTCCAGGAGAGGACAAACTTGCCTTGACAGTTTCTAGCCGCTTCTGGGCCTCAGCTGGAACCAGCAAATAGAACACCAAACCCAAGGGCACAGGCTCTGGATATTCAATTACTCACTGGAGGGTGGTGGGCACATAAGGCTGATGGGTCTGGGAGGGGGCGGAGGCGGAGGCGGAGGGCAGTGCCCTCTGCCGGGTTCCCTGCTGGTGTGTTCTCGGGCTTGGGGTGCTGAGACCTGGGGTCTGTGGGCATCACCTGGCAGGCACCCTGCAGCCTGTTTGCTGGGTGGTTGGAGGGTTACAGGAAGGCCAACTCTCATGCTACTATTTTTCATATCTCATGGGTCTGCTTAAGAGCTTTTTTTTAAACCTTATATTTTGAATAATTATATTCTCATGGAAAATTCAGAAAAGTACAGAGAGATTTCACCTACCCTTCACTCTGCTTTCCCCCACTGTAACATCTTACATATAATATAGTACAATGTCAAAACCAAGACACTGATGTTGGTCCGATGACCTGAGCATATTCCAATTGTACCAGGTTTTATATACATTTGTGTGTGTGTGTGTGTGTGTGTGTGTGTGTGTGCACATGCGCGCGTGTGTGCACATGTGTATAGGCAGGCAGGGGCATGGGCATGCCTTTACAATTTGATTGCTTACGCTTTACAAACTGTTGTCACCCTGAAGCAGAGCTGATGCTCCTTACGCCCCACCTCCACTGGCCCTCCACATCTCTGCCAAGTCCATCCCTGGGCT